CCCACCAGAGACTGCAGCCATACCTGCATGAGGAGGGCCCCACACTAAACTGGTTGCTCACTGATAGGTAACTGTCAGGCATGGAGAGTTTCCAGACAGTAATGGCAACAGGCCTCTCCAGGGGGATAGCGGGTCACATCTGGGTGTCCTGTCTTCTGAGAGCAAGGGCAAACCAGGCACACAGCTCAAGGAAGTTTTGAAGCCACTGCTGGTCATCCCACCGCTCCATCACCAGCTGGTCCCACCAATCGGAACTGGTGTCCAGCCTCCAGAAGCATCACCCCCCCCCATGAGGTGTGGTTGCAAGGGCATTGCACCCACACACAGGCAGAGGTTCTCAATGATGAGCTCAAGGTAGAGCTCATGCAGGACCATGAAGGCAGCCTGAAGACCATGAGGGCAGTGTGGGGCCATCCACATGCTCGGGGGAGCTCTGGCTCCATAGCGGGGAGTGCTGTGATATCCTGAAGCAGGACAACCAGAGCACACAGTGAAAATGCTTTGCTGTCCCTCAGAGAGGTAGGCAAGCAAGCAGAAGAACCTGAGAAATGGCTGTTCGGGGTGGGAGGAGTCCCTTTGAGCTCGCGTCTCAAATAGCCTCAGGCAGCAGCACCCAGAAGCATCTGCTGACCTAATGCCCTGCCTGAACTGGTTTTGGGTGGCCTTAAAAGTGAGATAGTGTCTAATCAACATCTATTTCATTGCGTTTTTTGTGTGTAGACATGCTAATTTGAAATAAGCGTGCAGAGTAGACGTACTCTTAGTTCCATTCAGAGGAGGAAATGACGGGATAAATCCACCACCTCAAGGCTCAGAAGCTGTTCAGGGCAGCTTCCTGGGCTGTCTGTATAGTGCACATTGGGCTTTCAGTCCTGACTAGGGCCTTTGGATGATTCTGCAAATCAAATAACAGAGAGATTATGGAGGGGATCTGAGGTTCTCTAAGCTACCCTTGTACCTTTTGATCCTGAAGTGCTCAGGGGGATGAAATGGCCCCTAGTCTAATAGTGAACACATCTTAGTTATAGCAGCCTCATGGGCTTCCTTGTGGGCCACAATACTGCCTGGAATCTCTGCAACACATCTCCTCCCCTCCACACACTTGAGGGCTACCTGAAAAAATGAGGAAGAACAGCACTTATGCAAGAGGGGGGGCTTTGCACAAAAATGGACCCTAATTAATTATGCAAACAAAGTTCGACAATATTTTACTCACACTTCATTTGCATAAGCTTTTGTGGAAGAAGGGTGCAGTATAGACGTAGCCATAGAGTCCTACCACCTGCCACATGTCAGAGATTTGTGAGACACGTCCTCAAAAAGCAACCATTTGGCTGTCTTCTGCAGTACCTCTGCAAGGGGAGAGGATAGGGTGGGGAGAGGGTAGATGGGCGCAAGGTGAAAGGGGGAAGCAGTAGAGGAGAAGGTTACAGGAGCCAGATGATGGAGGGTGGAGCTGTTCAGTGAGAAACAGATACAGACATGGGGCACAGGGACAGAATGGTCATAGCTACACTTCCCTACAAAACACAGGAGTCCTCTGTTTCGACATTCCTTTGCTGTCAGCAAAGAGCTGGCAAAGTGTGTGTCTCATCCTCCACTCTACTGTCTGGCCCACATAGGGTATTGTCTCCATTGCAGCATTGTTCTGGAATAATGGATATTATTCCAAAATACCTATGTGAGCATCTACACAGCAAGCCTGTTATTTCAAAATAATATCGAAATAACAGGAGTCTTATTCCGACTTCTGTAACCCTCTGGCTGTGTCTACATTGGCACCCTTTTCTGGAAAAGGGATGCTAATGAGACACTTCGGAATTGCAAATGCTGCGGGGAATTTAAATATCCCCCATGGCATTTGCATGAACATGGCTTCAGGATCTTCCAGAAAAGGGTTTATTTTCCGCAAGATCCCGTCTAGACTGGCGCTTTTCTCCGGCAAAACCCTGAGCCGGAAAAAAGCGGCAGCCATATTTATGGTCGGATGGCCACTTATGCACCCAGGAGCAGGTGAGCATGAAAGTTAAAGAACCTATGTCAAAGTCAGGGAGCACAGCTCCCACTGAGGGGTGGCACCACAGGCCTGCCCCTATTATATCCAGCTCCACCACATCCTGAGGGGCAGGCCAGTCCCTCCCCCACTCCTCATTGTGGACTCCGAGCTGGAGACCTCCATCATCACCACAGCCAGTGAGGAGGAGGAGGAGAAGTAGAAGGAGTCGGATGAAGCTAGCACCAGCTCAAGGCCTGCCTGCCAGCCAGGAGGTCTAGCTCACCCTGGAGTTGGTACCCCTCTCTCAGAATGTCTCCTGGGCATCATCCAAAGCTGGGGAAGGCCCCTCAGGTGAATATCATTACTTTCCCATGGTACCTATGGGTGGAGGTGGCTGCTGCACGCTCCTCAGTTGGCCTTCTCGGCCTGGGGTTTGCACGGCAGCCTGTTCAAGTGGGTGCACGTGGAACATCAGTCCAAGGCACACAGCCCCAGGAGGCCATTTTAATGCAAATTAGGTGTGTGATATTTAAATCCTGCCTCATTTGCAATGTTGACCTGTCTAATCTGCATCCCTCTGCTGACAGAGGGATGCAGTCTAGACATACCATGGCAGTCAGATTGGC